GGCGGGGTCTGATGAAAGGAGGGGGAGGAGCTGAGGGCAAGGCTTGTGTGGCTGGGAGGAAACCAAATATGGGCCCTGTGAGGATGAGAAGAGGAAGTGTACCCTGGAGATGCCACTTGTGTCAAGGCGTTTCCTCCCTCTCCACCCGTCCTCTCCCTTCTCCCTGAAGACCTTGCCCTCTCTCCACCCTCTCTTCCTCATCTTCACAGGCCCTACCCTCTCCTCTCCCATCTCTCTCCCTCCTGCCCACAGGCTCCACCTTCTCCCTTCCCCTCCCTCCTGCCCACCTTCTCTCCCTCGTGCCCCCCACGCACAGGCCCCTCCTCATCGCCTCCCTTCACAAGCCCCGCCCTCACTCCCTTAATGAGCCTCACCCTCATTCTCAGGTTCCCTTCCTCTCCCCACTTCTTCCTCTCATAGACCCCCACCCCTAGCTCCTCCTCTTCACAGGCCCTCCCCTCACCCAACCTCTCCCTTCCTCTACCCTCCTCTTCCTCACAGGCCCACCTCCCATCCTCTCCTCCTCACACATTGTGTCCTTGGTAAAAGAGGGACACCGCCCCCACCCACCAGGCCCTCCTATACCTCACCTCAAGGTCTATAGGTGGGTGGAAGGAGGTGGGGTTGTCTGCTGGATCAGTAACGTCATAGCCCCCCTCCCCAGCCCCACAGAGCCACAGCTACACTCATTCCTCATGCCAGGTGTCAGAGTCCATGAGGGTCCCCCACCCCTCAGGAAGGAAATTAGCAACAAGTTGAGTCTATTACCTATGTGAGGGGTGAGTTCTAGGGGCATGGACACCCCCCCCCAGTCACCACTGCCAACCTCTCTGAGATCTGTCACACTAGGAGGTTCTGATGGGGAGGAAAATATGGAACAAAACTCAAAAGAATAAAGAAGCCCAAGCCTCTGTCTGCCTTCTTCCCTCGTTCATCTCTTTGTCCTGTAACTGCTGAGCCCTCCGTCGTCACCGGACCTTGTCTGTGTCTCTGATTTGGAGTCACTTTCGCGCTTCTGACAGGGACACCATGCACTATATCAAGGGCACCCTGTGAGACCAGGCCCTAACTAATGACATTTGCGAAGGCTGTGTCAAATGTGGTTCTGTGGGTCCTGAAGTTCTAAGTGAACATGACTGGGGACACGGTGGTCGCCTAGTGGGTAAGGAGTTTACTGCCAATCCAAGGGTCCGTGGTTCCATCCTCCAGCCATCGGTCACTGCCTTCTGTTGGGTATACAGGTTCTAAAACATGCTGGGGAGGAAGGCCCCACACGAGATGGACTGAGATGCCAACTGGGCAGTGGGATTAGTGAGTCAGTGAGAGTGGGTGCAGAGATACTGTACATCGAGTCACTATGAGTTTCAGGCAACTCTATGGCACATAACAACAACAACAAAACGTGCTGGAGAGGCAGGTATGATTTGACGACACACAACACTAACCCCGTACAGTCACCCCATCACCACCTCTGCTGTCAGCAGCGCACCCCAGAGCTCCCTCCTGGTCCCTTACAGCTCCTGCCATGAAAACTGTCTCCCCTGGAAGCTAGCCTGGAGCAGAAAGCTCTTTCAGAGGTTCGCAATGAGACAAAAAAAAAAACCACAAAAACCCACCCACTGCCCTGAAGCCAAGTTCATCCCTCAGTGAAGCCCTGGGAAGAGCTGGGCTGTTCTTCCCAAGTCTGCTTACCTCTGAAAAACAAATTTGCTCATCTACGTCCAACAGGGCAGCTGGTGGATTCCAACCACCAACCTTTGGAATTTCAGCCCAGTGCTTGACTCAGTGTTTCTCTTGGGCTCCTGCCAGCAGCCACGCCTCTGGAAAATGCCCCAGTTTTCTCTGTCTCTTCACCCACGTCACCCTCCATTCATGCTCTGCTCAGTCTGAAAGCCAAATGAGGCTCTGAGGCCACTCGACTTGGACCACAAAGGGACATATTTGTCTGTTCCATACCATGAGGTGCCCAAAACCTAGAACTGCACCTGCCATGCAGAGACTCTTTGAGGGACTGAATGTGCTTGGCTGGGAGAGCTGGGATGAGCAAAGCACTGCCTGTTAGGTCATTAGGAAATGCATTAATTATTACAGATGGGAATGCAAAAGTTGGAAACAAAGGATTTATAATTGGAAAGCAATTATATTATTCTATGTGAGAAATGCGGTTGGAGACCACGTGATATAATTGTATACAATTAATAACTTATTCATTGCAAACACCTTTTAAAAATGTGAGGGGACAGGTCTAGATGGTAGAACGAAGGGGAGGGGTCCTGATGAAGGGTTTGAGGAGGGTGACAGGAGGGGAGACCTGCACCTTGGGAAGGGGCGGGGCTTGGTGAGGGAGAAAGCTGAGCTTGATGAGGATGGGACGACGTGGCCAGTGAGGATGTGGGGGGACTTGCTTGGTGATGCAGTGGGGGTGGAGGGCCTGGGCACAGAGCCTGTGGAGGGCCTGGGCACAGAGCCTGTAAGAGCCAAGGAGAGAAGCACCAGCTCAGGGTGTGGCCTGTGCCCAGAGGGAAGGACTCCCAAAGTCAGATTCTGGGTGGAGTCCTCAAAACAGGGATTCCCCAACTCTTCTTTCCATACATCCTCTGGGGTGGAGCACAGAAAGTTCTAGAAGACTCAGGGGAGGAGGGACAGACACTGGACCTGCTGGTTACCTGACGTCAAGTTGGAAGCTGAGCCTCTGTTGGGAGGATGTGGGGTCAGTGAGGAGGCAGGTGGTGAGGTGCTGGGTGCCTGAGTGTGGGTGTGGGGGGGGGGGAACAAGGATCCCCTGTGCTGCAGAGGGGTAGTGCCTGGATTCCTGGGGCCTGCCCTCCTGGACCCTAGAAAACAGCTGCCACATGACAGGTGTGATGCAGCAGGGCGCTGGCGGGGGAAACGCTTGGTCCTGGACGACTGAGCCAGTGAAAGCTCTCTGGGCAGTTCCACTCTGTGACACTGGAGGGTGATCTGGTGTCTCCTAGAGGCCCGTGCAGACCACAGGGACAGCGCAGAGGGAGGCTGAGTGAGGGGCGGCGGGGTGACAACTGTCCAAGCATGATGTCCCTTCCCAAGG